TTTCTTTAAATTTTGCAAATATGAGTCTCGAGACATAAGACACTTGTTTTTAGTTTACTTGCATCCCAGCAAGTGTGAAAGTTTATTTAGGTCAGGTTTTCTAAGTTAAAATTATCAACTACAGGGGACCCCCGGTATACGATTTTAAACCCGTTCCGAGGCTATGTTTCCCAAAAAAATTATGGAAGGCGAAATTAATTTTCCCCATAAGAAAAAATGGAAATAAATTAAATCCGTGCAAGGCCCCAAAAGTATATAAAAAAAAAATTTTTCCACATGAAATTTTAAAGTTTAAGCACACAAACTGAAGAAGACGTGACATTTTATATCCTAAAAAATAAAATACGGACACTTACCTTTAATAAAGGTTGGGTGATTGATGGGGGGGAGGAGGGGAGTGTCAAAGTTGTTAAGTTCAAAGGGGAATCCCTTTCCTTTGGATTGAAGTAGCAAGCCTTTTCTGGGGTTATTTCCCTTTTAATGCCACTGGCCAGTTTTAGAGTCATGGACCCTGGACAAAAAATCTGCCATAGAGGTCTGTACCCCCCCTTTCCCTTTAAAAATTTGTCTAAAAGGGCCACAACATTGTCTTTAATAGTCACCAGCAAGCTTGAAATAGCTGTGTTAGGGTAATTTCCACCCATAAGGTTTGCGTTCAACCCCTTTGAAACCTTTTCCCTTTAAATTTTTAAAAGTAGGCAAAATGGTTCAAACTGGCATGGTTCTCGGGATAGCCCAAACCCTTCAAAATCTTTCGAAATTTTCCCCAATAATTCTCCTCTTTTTACCACCCCAGGGTGGCACTAGAAGTTTTTTGGGGGCCCTGGTGACTATTTTGCGGGGAAAAACCCAAGCCCCAAAAAAACACTGTGATAATATGGAATGTCCCGAATGTATGCTTAGAGCGAGCCACGGCGGTTGTAAAACTGGCACGCACGGGGCAGTTAGGCCCCCACGTGGACGCGCCCGGACGAATCGCGGGTGGGGGGGTTTTTTAACGAGTGGTGAGGCAAAATTTTTGTGTTAAAATGTTTTTGTCCCGGTTTTAAAACGTTCGTGCCTCATATGGGGGGGGGCCCACTTGTATATAAAAAAATTAAATAATTTTTAAAAAAACAAAAAATTTTTGGGGTTTTTCCAGAAAATGGGAGATTGTGTTCGGGTTCATGGAGAATGTAAACAAACCGGGTGGGGGGGAGTGACCGTATTAGAAAGTCAGGTTTTGGTCAGAATTAAAATGACCGTATTAGCGAAACCCGTAAAGCGGGGCCTATTTACGTGGACCCCCGGTATTCGATGAAAACGGTATTCGATAAATCCCGGGATTGATGCATTAATCGCAAAAAAATTCCCCGGGGTTTTGTCGATTCGTCGGACCCGTCCCATGTGGCCGAATGCCCCCTTTTTTGCCAGTGTTTAAAGGCAGAGTTTGGCCCCTAAGGATCATTCGGTTTCATTCCAATTTTTTCCATTTATCACGTTTGGTGCTTGTTTTGCAAAATAAGTCACTGGGCCCCCAAAAAAAGTTTATGCCAACGCTGTGGTAAAAAGGGTGAGAATTGGTATGGAAATTAAGAAAGATTTTGAGGGTTTGGTGCTAACCCTGAGAAACCTATACCAGTTGTGGAATACATTGTGCCTACTTCAAAAATTAAGGAAATGTGTGCACAGTGGGTTGAAGTGCAAACCTTTATGGATGAAAATCACCCTAACACAGCTATTACAATGACAATGTTGTGGCCCATTTTAGACAAATCGTAAAGGAACGGGAGGTACAGAGCTCTATGGACAGATTGTTGTGCGACAGAGGTCCAGTGACTCTCAAGCTGGTCCTAGTGGCATTAAAAGAAGAAGGGAAGTAACCCTGGAAAAGGACTTGCTACCTCAAGTCCTAATGGAAGGGGATTCCCCTTCTAAACACTAACACCTCTCCCCTCCTTCCATCCCATCAATCATCACCAGATCTTCATTAAAGGTAAGTGTCAATTATTTTATTGTTATTGTAATTATTCTATTGCATTAAACTTAATATTTCATGTAGTAAATTTTTTTTTTCATACTTTTGGGTGTCTTGCACGGATTAATTTGATTTTCATTATTTCTTATGAGGAAAATTGATTCGGTTTTCGATATTATCGGTATTCGATGAGCTCTCAGGAACGGATTAATATCGAATACCGGGGGTCCACTGTACTACTAAAGACCCATTCTTCAGTGTCTAGACCAAAATTTGCCGCTCACAGCAAATTTGAGGGCTCAATGATTTGTGTGTAAATCTACACGAGCAGCAGTGGCCCCAGTCACGTAGATCTACGTGACAGTGAAAGGGTTGAGTTATTTTCTAAAATTTATCAGTTTTTAATAAATTTTGGTCTAGTGTTGCCCCTCCCCTTAACATTTAAAAAGAAATTTTAGATAAATTTTGAACTCTTTCACTGTCTCCCATGTAGATATACAATGGACCCTCGGCTTACAATATTAATTCATTCCAGAGAGCTCATCATTAGACGAAATTATCGTAAGTTGAATTAATTTTCCCCATAAGAAATAATGGAAATTCAATTAATCTGTTCCAGACACCCAAAAGTATAAAAAAAATAGTTTTTACCATGTGAAATATACATTTCCCTACACACAAAGAGGAGGATACATGCATAATATATATTGTGCATGTACTACTGTATTAAATGAAGAATAAATAACACCTTTATTGAAGATGTAGTGATGAGTGATGAGACTGTTTTTCTTGAACACACTGGGATTTTCAGAGTGATACATGAGTAAAGGCTTCACTTTGCAATCCCTGTTTGCATTACAACAAAAGAAAGTTAGCCTGTCTTTCATAGGCTTGTCTCCTGGCAGCGCCTTTTCGTCCTGAGTAATATAGGTCCCGTTTGGCATTTTCTTCCAGAACAGGCCTGTTTCTTCATAATTGAACACTTGTTGGGGTTGGAATTTTTCAGCTTCGCCATGCCTTATCACTGTGTATGCCACTATGATTCTTAAATCTCTCTAACCACCCTTTGCTGGCCTTAAATTCGCCAATATGAGTACGTACTAGTTCCAGGCAGTTTTTCCTCTTCACTTGAATGTTAGTCGACTGGTGTGGGTCGCATCTTGGGGGACAAGATTAAGGACCCCAATGGAAATAAGTTAGTCCTCGATGATACACTGACTTTCTTTGGTTATCCTGGGTGGGTAACCCTCTGGGGTTAATTGTTTCTTGGTATTCTCAATAAGCCACACAAACAACAGTCTCTCCACCTCTTCGAGTAGTACTGCTGACACTGGTGCAGCAGCAGCTGATGGTGCTACAGCAGCAGCTGTCAGTGCTACAGCAGCAGCTGATGGTGGTACAGCAGCAGCTGATGGTGGTACAGCAGCAGCAGCTGATGGTGCTACAGCAGCAGCAGCAGCTGATGGTGGTACAGCAGCAGCTGATGGTGGTACAGCAGCAGCTGATGGTGGTACAGCAGCAGCTGATGGTGGTACAGCAGCAGCTGATGGTGGTACAGCAGCAGCTGATGGTGGTACAGCAGCAGCTGATGGTAGTACAGCAGCAGCTGATGGTAGTACAGCAGCAGCTGATGGTAGTACAGCAGCAGCTGATGGTGGTACAGCAGCAGCTGATGGTAGTACAGCAGCAGCTGATGGTGGTACAGCAGCAGCTGATGGTGGTACAGCAGCAGCTGATGGTGGTACAGCAGCAGCTGATGGTGGTACAGCAGCAGCTGATGGTACATCAGCAGCTGATGGTGGTACAGCAGCAGCTGATGGTGGTACAGCAGCAGCTGATGGTGGTACAGCAGTAGCTGATGGTGGTACAGCAGTAGCTGATGGTGGTACAGCAGCAGCTGATGGTGGTACAGCAGCAGCTGACCATGGTGCAGCAGCAGTAGCAGCTGACCGTGGTACGATAGTACATATTTCGATAGTATTTCTCACCCTTTTTACCACAGGGTTGGCACTAGATGCTTTCTTTGGGCCCATGGTGGCTTATTTAGCAGTCACAAGCACTAAAAACACTGGAATAATACAAAATTTATCGAATGTATGCATGCAACCGTCCGCCCTGGCTTGTAAACGATGTCACACTAGCTCAGCTGAGGCGCTCGGGCCAGATGGCCACGTTCGGTACGAATGATGTAAGTTGAGTTTTTCATCGTGGGTCGGGGTAAAAATTTTACGCTGAAAAGCTTCGTAAGTCAATTTTATTGTAAGATGAGGCCTTCGTAAGTCGAGGGTCCACTGTACGTCATGAATGCCAGTGTTGATCTTGTAGATCTGAGTTTTAAGCACAGCTCCCTCAGACATGTTGTGAGTGGTAAATTTTGGTCTAGACATGAGAGAATAGGTTTGTGTAGTGAGTGTGCACAGTATATAAAAAAAAATCCT